GGTGCCAGCGCCGGGAGCTCCACTCTGAAGGCGTGTGCGTTGAGCAAACCACTCACACAGCTGCTGCGGTGAGAGAGGCTCTGGTCGGGGAGAAAGTCCTGGCAAGGCATCCGCAGGACCTCCAGAAGAAGCAGTACCCCTAGGCTCAGCACCCCAGACCCCGCACCCTCAGACTCAGCACCCCCAGGCTCTGCACCCTCAGGCCCAGCACCCCCAGGCTCCGCACTCGCAGGCTCAGCACCCCCAGGCTCCGCACCCGCAGGCTCACCACCCCTAGGCTCCGCACGCGCAGGCTCAGTGACGCAGCACCTCCAGACGCAGCACCTCGAGCAGCACCTGAGTCTACAGCGACCTCGACAGGCACAACCCCAGGGAGTGGGTCTACCTGAGACACACCTAAGGGAGCAGGACCCTGGGGGGGGAGGGGGTCTATCGAAGGGGGACCTGGAGCAAGGATGAGCGGCGGGGGTGGGAGAGGGGCAGAGCGGTAGGGGAAGAGACGGTAAAAGGGAACCGACTCGTCAAACGTGACGTCCTTAGAGGGGAAGACACGGCGCGAGGTGGGGTGGTAAAACTGCCAGCCAGGCGCGTCAGGGGGAAAGCCAAGGAAGACGCAAGGAACACCGCGGGCGGAGAGCTTGTCCGCGGACGTATCGCGAACAAAGGCACGAGAGTCCCAGACCCGGAACACCGACGCATCGCCAACCTCCCTCGTCCAACGCACTGTAGGCGAGGTCTCCGACAAGGAGACACGGGGCCAGATGTTGAGCTGATGCGCGGCGTACCGGACCGCAAACGGCCAGAGAAAATGGGGAGCAGCCGCATGGATCATAGAGGTACGAGCGACCTCCATGACAAAGCGAATGCGACGCTCAGCAATCCCATTTTGCTGAGGGGAGGCCGGAAGCGTGAACAACTGGAGAATGCCCTCCCCACGACAAAAATCCCGCAAGAGGTCGTTTGAGAACTCACCACCTCTGTCAGAGTGCAGACGCAGGACAGGAAGGTCCTGGCAGAACCGCTCGCGGAGCTGGAGACGGACTGCGCGGATCCAAGGGATCAAGACATCAGGGACCTCACCCTTGCTGCGCAAGAGGAAGACTGTGGTGTAACGCGTGTAGTCGTCAACAACCAGCAAAAAGTAGCGCTCGCGGCCTTGTCCACTAACGTAGGCTGAGCCCCACACGTCCATGTGGAGAGTCTGCAGGGGAGCAAACGTCGGGGGAAATGAGGAGTGAGGAGCGGCGCGTTGCCGCCCCTCGACGAAAGGAAAGCAGGGCGGGGCAGGCGAGGGCGGGAGGGGAGGCAGAGACCTGGGAAGACCAGAGAAAAGGAGACGGGAGTGCATGCCATGAAGGGAGGGGTGACCAAGTCGGTGGTGCCACAGGAGTGTCTGGTGCGACAGGAGGCGACACGAGCAAGGGGGTGCTATTGGACCTGACACGGACAACTGGGCAGACACAACTACCTGAGGAGGCTCGGTAGCCAGTGTGTACAGGCTCGACCCAGGCCGACGGGTGAACGTGGCCAGGTGACGACCCGTCCGTGTACACGTGCAGATCGACACACGCTGAACCCCAGGAGTGGTGGTAGTGACCATCGCAATGGAGGGCAGCGGTACTCACCAAGTTCGTAGAGAACGAGGGGAGGTGAAGACCTGACAGTGAGCCGGACGGAACCGCCGGACACGGGAGAACAGTGGAAGAACAGGCAAGAACTGAGCCCCCTGAAGAGTCAGGTAGTCTGACTGGTACAGGCGCAAAGAGAGGAGTGAGGGTGGTGCTGTCGCGAAAGAAACAGCGGGAAGCACCTAAGTCAAGCGTAAAGGTGTGCAAGGCCTCAGCAGGCGCAGTACATGGGAGAGCTGACTCACTAGCACCTAAAGCAGCAGCCTATATACGTGGGTCAGGCGGCACACATAGGTAACAGTCACCCTCAGCACTAACAGACAAGGCATACATAGCAGCAAGGATAGCATCATAGTCAAGATCAAAGATAGCAACTCCAGACCCAAGCACCTCTGCCCAGCGGGGCCGCTCGGCCTCGTCACCAAACTCTGCATGCCAAGCGTCGTCTAGGCGGGAGAAGCAGCGGTGCTGAGTGTGAGGCTTCCCGCATGTCTGACCAGCACGGTCACCCGTGCGAATGACATACGGGCAGCTACCACTACCCCCAGACGCCCCACGCTGAGAAAACCACTCACGAATCTGCTGGGGCGAAGGGGTCTCACTCCGACGCTGCTGCTGCTGCCTCTGGCCACCGCCAGAACCTCCCCTGTGAAGAGCTCCACCCCGATTGCCACCACTCCCAGTGCCGCCACTACCGCCACTCCCACCGCTGCCACCTCCGCCGCCACCAACACCCCCACTCTCGCCACCACTCCCACCGCTGCCACCACCTCCACTACCTCCACCACCTCCATTGCCGCCCCCACTACCACCCCCGCTGCCACCTCCACTACTCCTGCCACCCTTGCCCTTGTTGCTGCAGCTATTCCCACTAGCAGAAGCAGCCCCAACATCCTCAGCACCAGAGACGTCAACAGCAGCAGCAGAGACGTAGGAGGGGGCAAGGGGGGAAGGGGAACACCCCTCAAAGAAGGGCGTGCGAGGAGTGCCACGAGCGGCACCTACAGCGACTACACTGGTCTCAGCTGCAAGGAGGTGCTGCTCGAGTAGGTCAACAGTGAGGTCTGTGGGGTCAAGTGCGATAAAGTGGTCCCTGACTGCGCGAAGAGAGTCAGAGAGGTGGGTGACTATGAAGTAGAGAGTGATGTACATAGGGGGGGGGTCCTGTCAAGGAACTCTGCTGGGAGGGCAGCGCGGTAGCGAGTGTCGCTAGTGCGAAGGTGGGCAACGAGGTCCTCTACCGTGGCAAAGGCGGACAGCTCGGGAAACAGGTAGGGCAGTATAAGGCGGCATAGAGCAGCAGTGGTAGGGGAGGAGTAACGGGTGACTACAGCGTCGTACAGTGCTTTAGCAGTCTTGTGCTGTCCGAATTCAGCGCATTCGGCTAACGGCAGGTGGTTGGGAATGGCTAAGCGAGCAGCAGCGTCACGGGTAAGCCACTGTGAGCGAGTCGCACTGTCAGCTGTGGCGGGAGGGGCGAGAGAGGCTCCAGACGTGTGGTTCGAACAATGAAACGCTGTCTCTAGAGTCGCTCAGTAGGTATAGCTGTAAGTCGTCGAGCCACGTGTCGAACCGGATCGGACAGCCCTCATGATCGAACGTGAGTACACGGAGAGAAGCCATAGCGGGCAGAGCAGGGTGGCGCGCTACCAGCAGAGCAGCACGCAGGCAGGGTAGGGCGGCGCACGGCTAGGGTGGTCAGCAGCAGGGTGGGCAGGAGCCGGGCGGTGCAAGCAGCAGGGCGGGTACGCAAAGGGGCGGCGAGCGGGCTGCCAGAGGGCGGTGCACAGGCTGCAAGGGGCGGCGAGCGGGCTGCAAGGGGTGGCGCGCAGGCTCCAAGAGGCGGCTAGTGGGCTGCAAGGGGCGGCGTGCGGGCCGCGAGAGGGCAGCGAGCGGGCTGCAGGTGCTGCGAGCAGGCCGTAAGCAGGCTGCGGGCGGGCTGCAGGGGCGACAAGCGGGCCGCAAGCGGGCGGCTAGCAAGCGGCAAGGGCGGCGAACGGGCCGCGAGTAAGCGGCGAGCGGGCGGCAGGGGCGGCGTAGCGGGCCGCAAGCTGGCGGCAAGCGGGCTGCAGGGGCAGCTAGCGGGCCGCGAGCAAGTGGCGAGCGGATCGCACGGGCGGCGAGCGGGCCGCAAGGGCGGCTAGCGGGCCTAGGGGCGGCGGGCGGGCCGCAAGCGGGCGGCGCGTGGGCTGCAGGGGCGATGCGCGGGCCGTGAGCAGGTGGCGAGCGGACTGTAGGGGCAGCGCGCTAGCTGCAGGGGCGGCTCGCGGGCTTCTAAGGGCGGCGCGACGAGCTGCTAGGGGTGACGCGACGGGCTGCTAGGGGCGACGCGACTGCCAGCAGGGCGACGGACCTTTAGGGCAGGCAGCAGGGCAGTTCGTGGGGCAGCTCTGTGGTGGGCCCTAAAAATAAACTTCGGTCCTAAGGAAGGACTTGCTCTGAAACCTTGTTAGAAACTAGAACGAGAATGAATGCATTGAACAGAAGTTGGGTACAAGTGCTAACCCTAATTGGGTTGTACCCCTTATGGGCTAACCCACTATAGACTATACAAAGTAAGCTCTATAACATTCTGACACCAAACGCGCTGCTGTGCCTGAGCTGCTGCTGCCGCACGCGCTGCTGCGCTGTGCCCTGCCGAGCTGCGCCGACGTGCCCGGGTCGCGCCGCTTTGCCCGCGCCACGCCGCCCTGCCCACGCTGTGCCGCCCTGCCCGCGCCACGCCGCCCTACCTGAGCCACACTGCCCTTCTGCTGCTGCTGCCGCTGCTACTGCTACTGCTACTACTGACACTACTACTGCTGCTACTGGTGCTGCTACTGCTGCTGCTGCTGCTGCTGCTGCTGGTGCTGCTGATGCTGCTGCTGCTGCTGCTACTGCCACTATGGCCACCATTTCGGCTCTTAGCTTTGATGCGGATGGTCGCCCGATTAGCTTTGACATTTGGCTCGACAGCTGTTCCTACAAAGCGTGGCTAGGGATGGAGTTTCATTAACATACGTCCGGATCCCTCCTTGCCCCACCTGCTACAACCGACCGCTTAGATCAGTCGAAGTGGTTCACGCGTGACGCTACTGCCCGCCTTGCTGTCCGCAACCACCTCCCGCTAGCTGAGAGAGCCCATTTTAGCTAGAAGAAGACAGCGAAAGACCTCTATGACGTCGTTGTCGCTCGTTACTCCTCCCCAGCTACTGCTGCCCTTGGCTGCCTCATTCTGCCGTACCTCTTTCCTGAGCTCGCAGATTTCCGCAGTGTTGCCGATCTCATCTTCGTTCTAGTGAGACTAGCTATCGCGCCGCTCTCAAGCCGGCCTTCCTCATAGAGAACCCCCCCCCCCCCCCCCCCCGCTTTATATCACCCTGTACTTCCTAGTCACCCGCCTCCCGGACTCCCTCTGCACAGTTAGGGACCAATTTCTCGCCCTCGACCCCATTGAGCTCATGCTTGCCTCGCTGGAGAAGTACCTCCTCGAGGCAGAGACCAGTACTGTCGCTGTTGCTGCCTCTCATGGCACTCCCTGCTCCCCCTTTTTTGAAGGGTGTGCTCCCTCCCCTCTCATTCCCTCTGTTGCCACTGCTGCTGCTGTCGACCTCCTTGGTGCTGAGGAAGTTAGCGGTGCGTCTGCCCCCAGTGAGAGGCGCGGCAGCGGCAAGGGCAAGGGGGGTAAGGGAGGTGGGGGTGGCGCTAGCGGTGGTGGTACCGGGGGTGGTGGTGGCGGGGGTGGAGGCGCTGGAGGTTGCACCGGAGATGGAGGCGTTGGAGGTGGCAGGGGTGGTGGAGGTGGCCGGGATGGTGGAGGCGGCGGGGGTGGTGGAGGCGGTCGGGGTGGAGCCGGCAGGGGTGGAGGCGGTGGGGGTGGTGGAGGCGGTCGGGGTGGAGCCGGCAAGGGTGGAGGCTATGGGTCTCAGATCGTGGCGGCGGAGGCTATGGGAGTGGTCCGCAGCTGCCACGCCTCCTGGACAACCCCACCCCTCAGCAGCTTCGTGAGTGGGTTGTTCAGCGTGGTTCCCCTTGGGGCTCTGCTCGATGCTCCTATGTCAGGCGCACGGGCCTCCAGAAGGGGTGAGACCTGCGGGAAGACTGGGCACACAGAGTACCGCTGCTTCGGCCGTCTCGAGGATGCCAGGGTGGCAGAGTATGGTGATGAGCAGGCTGTCCCCAACTGGCTGGGATTGATAGAAAAAAGAGTAGATGTGTTTGCTCTTAACTTTGCTGCTATAAAAAAGGGACTCTATGCTATGTATGTGGATGCTATTATTGGTGAGGGTGCCTGTTACTCGTGTGTGCCTTGCGCTGCTAGTGAGTCTGCTGCCGCAATAGGTGCTAGTGAGTCTGCAGCCGATCTAGGTGCTAGTGCGTTTGCTGCCACAGGTGCTAGTGCGTCTGCTGCCACAGGTGCTAGTGAGTCTGCTCCCTCAGCCGAGGCCCCGCACACTTTCACACTTGACTCTGGTGCGTCTCGTTGCTTCTTTCGTGATTGCACCTCAGTCACACCGCTTGCTGCACCAGTCCCGGTCTCACCGGCTGACCCCTCTGGGGGGCCCCGTCGTTGCACGAGCTTCCACTGTCCTCCCTTGTCCAGCAGTCCCCTTCGGCGCTCTTTCAAGTCTCCACCTCTCCTCGTTCTCGACGAAATTGGTGAGCAACGCAGTCCTTCAGGATGCATTGGTTGATACCTTTACTCCTGGAGGGCAGCGTGTGTCGATCTGTACGTGCTCCCGGAGTGGCTGTCACCTTGCTACGTTCACTCGACAGCCTGGGTCCAGTCAGTACACCTTGATGACTACGTCTGCACATGTGGCTGTGTCAGGTCAGGTTGCTACGCCGAGTCAGGTATCTGTGTCTGGTCAGCTCGCTGCGTCGTGCTCGTGTCGGGTACTCTCCCACCAGACTCTCCTCTGGCACCACCACTTCGGACACCCCTCTCTGCCGCGTCTACGCAGCATGCACTCTCGTCTCCTTGTCTCTGGCCTTCCCAGGTCCCTGCCCCCCCTCCCACGCTCGCTTGCCCCGCCGTGCCTGCCCTACGTCTAGGGGTGGCAGCGCGCTGCTCCTCACTCCTCATTTCCTCCGACCACTGCTCCTCTGCAGACTCTCCACATGGACGTGTGGGGCCCGGCCCCCATCCATGGGACGGACCAGGAGCGCTACTTCCTACTGGTTGTTGATGACTACACGAGCTACACCACGGTCTTCCCTTGCGCAGCAAGGCGGACGTTCGCAGTGTTTTGATCCCCTGGATCCGCACTACTCGTCACCAGCTGCGCGAGCGGTTTTGGCGGGACCTTCCAGTCCTGCGTCTGCACTCTGGCCTCCTTGCGGAGTTCTGTCGAGACAAGGGCATCGTCCAGTCGTTCACGCTTCCGGCCTCTCCGCAGCAAAATGCGATTGCTGAGCGTCGCATTGGCTTGATGATGGAGGTTGCTCGTACCTCTATAATCCAAGCGGTTGCTCCCCATTTTCTGTAGCCGTTCACGGTCCGATACGCCGCGCATCAGCTCAACCTCCGGCCTCGTGTCTTTTTGCCAGAGACCTCGCCCACACTCCGTTGGATGGGAGAGGTTGGCGATGCGTCGACGTTTCGAGTCTGGGGCACCCTCGCTCTTATCTGCGATACCACCACGAGCAAGCTCTCTCCTTGCACTCTTCGCTGCGCCTTCCTGGGCTTCCCAACCGACTGCCCCGCACGCACGCATCCCACCCGATCCCCTTGGCGCCTCTCTTCTCTGGTACCAGTTCCCCCCCCAGTATACCCCCTCCCCCCATAGGATCCTGCTCCCTCAGGTGTGTCTCAGGCAGACCCTTTTTTCTTGGTTGAGCATTTGGTGATCTCCTCTGACACCTCTGGCCCGGCTGAGGGGGGGTGACCTCGCCGCTAACGACACGGCAACCACTCGTCGCTCTCCGCGCTTGGAGACCCCTCCTGGTTTTCCGCCTCGACCGTCTTCGCCGCCTCTGCAGCCTGTAACTGTGGACACTGGTGCTGCTCGGGGGTGGTGACACTAGGGGTGAGGACGTAGGAGGTGCTGGTCCTGGGGGTGCTGAGACAGGGGGTGCTGAGACTGGGGGTGCTAAGACTGGGGGTGAGGGTTCTGGGGGTGCTAAATCTGGGGGTGCTGCGAGTCCTAGTGGTGGTGGGACCGTGGGTGGTCCTGTGGCAGGTCCTGGTGTTGGACAGCAGCAGCCGCCTATTAGACTCGAGACGCCCTTACCGCAGCAGCTTTGTGAGTGGGTCGTTCGGCGAGGCCACTCTGGTGCTGGTGCTTGGAGTTTTACAGCTCCTCGAGCTACTGATACTGGAGGCTCTGGGGGTGCTAGAGCTGCCGGAGCTGGAGGTGCTGGTGCTAATGGAGCTGGAGGTACTGGAGGTGCTAGAGCTGCTGGCACTAGGGGTGCTGGTGCTGCTGGTCCTGGAGGTACTGCTGGCACTAGAGGTGCTGGTACTGCTGGTGCTGGAGGCACTGAAGCTGGAGGTTCTGGAGGTGCTGGAGCTGCTGGTCCTGGAGGTGCTCGTACTAGAGGTCGTGGAGCTGCCAATGCTGGTGGTGCTGCTAGTGCTGGAGGTGCTGAAGGTGCTACTGGAGGTGCTGGTGCTGCTGGCGCTGAGGGTGCAGGAGGTACTGCTGGTGCTGGAGGTGCCAGAGCTGGAGGTACTGGAGGTGCTGGAGCTGCTGGTGCCTTATGTGGAGGTACTGGAGGTGCTGGAGCTGCTGACGGTATGGGTACTTGCACCGCGCCAACCGTTTTTCTACCCGCAGCCGCAGTCGTCCCTGCCCGCCCGCCTGACTCGGTCCTTCGCCAGGTTCTTAGTCCTCCTGTCTTCCAGTGGCATCACTCCACCTCTCCTGTGTCTACCGACAGACCAGTCTCAACCACAGCTACTACTTGGCTCCCCGCTGCCTGCTCCTGCTCCTCACACTGAGGTGACTGAGTCCCTGACTGAGCGTCGTGAGCCTGAGACTCGTGCTTCCACACCTGTTCGTGCTCGTCATGTCGCTCGTCCTCGGCCTCCTGCTGTCCCAAGCACTCACGTTATGGCACTTCGTCCTTCCTCTGTTCCACAGCGTATTGCCCTGCCGTCTCCTCCAGCGTCCTCTCTTCTTGACGTTCTTGACCCTGAGTCCGATATTGCTCGTGCTGCTAGTCCTACTATCACTCGTCTCCTTGCTACTGTCGTCACTGACCTTGACTTTGAGTATACTGCTGCGTTTTCCCAAGTCACTGAGCTAGTCAACTTTGCTGCTAGGAGTCGTCTCGACTACGTCGCGATTCTTGCTACTGAGTCTGAGTATGTCTGTCCTCCGACCGTCGGGGGGTGAGCCTGCCCTTGCCAGTGACGTCTTGAGGACATGCAGTTTGAGCTTGAGTGTCTTGCGGCCGCTTTTACCTCGTTTTGCATCCATGCTGCTTTGTTCGGAGGGAGACCCGAATGCACTTGACATCCCTACCCCCGCGCTCTTACGCTGAGGCGATCGCAGGTGAGTACTCCACTCAGTGGCAGACAGACATGGATGCAAAGATGGCTTCCTGGAAGTCCACAAGCACCTACGTCGACAAGGTTCCTCCTCGTGGGGCGAACATAGTTGATGGCATGTGGATTTTCAGAGGTGAAGCGACCGCCGGGTTCTTCGCCTGCGTTCAAGGCGCGTTACGTTGCTCGAGGCTTGAGTCAGCGATAGGGGGTCGACTACTTCCAGACCTTCTCCCCCACCCCAAAGATGACTACTCTTCGGGTGTTGCTGCACGTTGTAGCACAGCGTGACAAGAAGCTGCACTCTCTCGACACCTCCATAGCTTTCTTGCAGGGCAGCCTTCACGACGAGATCTGGCTGCGCCGCCCACCTGGCTTCACTGGGTTGTTTCCTGCGGGTACCCAGTGGAGCCTCCGGCGGCCAGTCTATGGTCTCCGCGAGACGCCCTGCAAGTGGAACAACACACTGAGGACGACACTTGCGGCTCTTGGGTTTGCTCCTTCCTCTGCTCATCCGTCGTTGTTTCTACGCACCGACACTTCTCTGCCGCCGTTCTACGTTCTCGTGTACGTTGACGACTTGGTTTTTGCTACTGCTGACACTGAGGCGCTGGCCCTAGTGAAGGCAGAGCTGCAGGAGAGACACACTTGCACTGACCTGGGTGACCTGCGGAGCAATCTTGGCTTGCAGATCACCCGGGACAGAGCACGACGCACCATCACCCTGACTCAGTCACACATGGTGCACCAGGTCTTTCAGCGCTTCGGCTTCTAGTACTCCTCGCCACAGCCCACTACTCTGCCTACTGGCCACTCGCTCTCATCTCCACCTTCGGACGAGTTTGTAGAGCCAAGTGGTCCATATCCAGAGCTGGTGGGTTGCCTCATGTACCTGATGACGTGCACACGACCCGACCTCGCGTACCCTCTCGGCCTCCTGGCTCGCTACTCAGCTCCCGGTCGACACCGAAAGATGCACTGGGATGCTGTTAAAGAGGGTACTGCGTTACTTGTGCAGTACATCGGGCATGGGGCTAGTGCTTGGAGGACGGGGTTCAGTGGTACTCATAGGACACTCCGACGCTTCTTGGGCCGGATGACCCAGGCGACTCAGCGTTCGGCACAAGGATACACCTTCAGTCTTGGCACTGGTTCTGTCTCGTGGAGGGTCCACTCGTTCTTCTTCTGTGCTTGGTTCCAGCCGTGAGGCCGAGGATCTATGCTGTGGCTATGGCTGCATAGGAGCTACGCTGGCTGACATACCTGGTGGCTGACCTGGGGGAGCAGCCTCGTTCTCCTCCAGCTCTGTACGTCGACAACAAGGCCATGCTTGCCTTGTGTCACGAGCAGAGACTGGAGCACAGAGCCGAATCACATTGCTCTTTGATTCTTTCTTGCTCGAGAGCTGCAGCAGCGTGGTCAGCTTCACCTTACCTACTTGGCCTCTCGGGCCAACGCTGCTGGTGTCTTCATCACCAAGGCCCTCGGGTCTGGTGATCATCAGCGTTTTTGCACTGCTCTATGGCTTCTGTCCGTTCCGCATCACCTGCTTGTTTCTTGATCTTGCACTTGTTGTAAACTGATATCTATATTTATTTCTGCATGGTTACCCTTGCAAGGTTGTGATCAGTGTACTGCCTTGCTATTATGAATCTGCATGTGAAACTTACCTTGTGCTCAGAATGGCGATCCACCCTGGGCTTTGCATTGCTTCGTTCTCTTGCGTGGTTGGTCTTGTGACCGTTTGTTGTGTTGGCTATCCCTCACTTTGCCTAGGGGGGTGTGTCAAAACATATTTCTATGTTCTTAGTTCTGCTAGGCTACAGTGAGGTTCTCAGTATAGAGTACAACCCCAGTTAGGGTTTCATACACACACACACACACACACACACACACATACATACACAAATACACACACACACACATACACACACACACACAGAAAGACCACAGACAGACACACACACACACATACAAAAAATCCAAACCACGCAAAATTCAAATTCTTGCACACGCTCACACCACGCATGCAACGCACGCACATATGATCAGAGGCAGACAGACGCGAATGCAAATGTTAGCATCACATAACAAACTCACCCTTTGGCTGCCTACCATCATCCCACGTGCCATAGCTCAAGCATGCCACCCTGAATGCACACTCATTCCAGCAAGCTTCATGCCCTTCCACTGCTCAGGTTCAGCCAGGCGCTTTGGTGAGAATGTCAGCCGCTTGCTGATGGGTCTTCACAATCTCCAGCCGCACCTCATTGTCAAGGAGCCTCATCACCAGTGCCACTTGGGCCTGATGTGCTTTGTCAGCCCATGCAGACAAGCATTCTTGGCCAACTTCGCAGCCGACTCGTTGTCACAAAACATTACTGTCGGCTCCCTCAAACACACTCCGATCTCCTATATCAAACGCCTCAGCCACACCACCTCTTTCGCCCCATGATGAATGGCCATGTACTCCGGTCTCACACAAGGACACGCCCCACCTCGTTCTGCTTCTTGCTGCACCAGCTCACTGCACCACCTCCAAACATGCACACATAGCCTCCAATGCTGGTGCCATCCGCCTTCACAGAAGTTAAGCTAGCGTCGTGTAGCAAGTCAAGGAGCATCTCCCTCTTGCCCAAATCAGCAGCACCCCGTTGCTGCCTTTGCCTCACAGCACTATACTCCAAACCCACAGAT